TCAGGGCTCCACTTTCACCTTCTCTGTCTTAATAAGCGAAATTTAGAAGCTTTCTTCCAGTGCGCAGAATTTCAGGTATCTTGACATAATCAAATGGAGACCCGATTGGGGAACATTCTACGATTGTGATCCGACAGACTTCCACGGGACCGACAAGCAGAAGGTGGGTCTTAAAGTTTTTTTCTCGGAGGTCTTGTGATGGTCCAGCGTCTCACTTCATATAAACTTCACCTTGCCTAGGAAAAAATCCCATACATCTATAGCCCCTAACACTTACAATCCACGTTGATCTTGCGATCTTCATCTTGCGAGTGAAAGCGTGGGTGGAGAATGTCAAACATCGTGCTCCCCACATAAGCTCACCGTATTACTTACTATCTTGATATCTTCTCTCTACTGTCTTGGAAATTGTGGAATAGATGCGCATTAATGAAGATGACAAAAAAGTTGGTTGTCTCCTTGCACACAATCGGCCTGCTCGATACTTTTGAAACTGTAATACTTGCTTCTCGAAATGGCTCTAACATAAACTTCCTAATAGTTCTATAACACAGCAGTTCTACTTCTCGAATCGTTCACCTCATAAATCACGTTCCAGCAATCGCTGAGAATTCAAGAGTTGAGTATACCGCATCATTTCAGGCTCTCGTTTTGGGAGGTGAAGCAGCTTTGTGGGGAGAATACGTGGACGGGACGAATCTTATGTCTCGCATGTGGTGAGAAATGCCTCATGTACATATACTATACTTGTAATACTATATTTATACTTGGGCAAATAAACTCACTTAAGGCCCCGTGCTTCTGCTGTGGCTGAGCGGCTATGGTCTAATCCAGACGAGACGAAATCAAGTGATAAGGCTTGGCCACGTCTTCACGAGTTCAGATGCAGAGTGATGAATCGAGGCTTTGCTGCGTTACCACCGAATGCTCCTGACTACTGTCCATTTGAGTGGAATCCAGTATACAAGGAGCTTTGAATGGTTATATTGATTTATGATGACTATGATGATTTGACGATTACGATTTGAAAAATTTCAATTGATCCGATATTTAATGAATACGATTTGGTTTTTCAAGTGTGCAACGAATTGGTTTTTTCAAGTGTGCACGTGAAGATGGAAGAGAGGGGTCTTTCATTAAGTTGTGGTGGCGGAACACCCAACTGAAAAGGTTTGGATCCGACAGCAATGAGTGGCCTTGGAGAACTTCTCAAGATCACGCGTGCTGCCTTTAAAGACACCGCTTCATCACCGTAATCAGGAAGAAAATTTACTATGTCGCCGCGAAATCATGTTCTTTTTGGAGGAGTTGCGACAACGAAACTTTAAAAGTACAAGCTCTCACCTGAGTATGAACTTTCCAATGAGCCATAGATCTGAGGCCTCCAAGTACAACGGTACTTGAAGGCCTCTCTGGAAGCTTCCCTGGTAAGCGCAGATGGTACTGTGGCGAGAGGTGTCAGTGAAACTGGTGCAGTTTGTGGATCTGCTGCTGCTGCTAGAGCCCGGGAGCTTTGACCCTTTAGAGCGGTCGATTGCTTGATGTCAGGCAAGAAAGATTGGCTATAAGATTCCCGCGACCTCTCCTCAAAGACAGCTCTCGCGATAAAAGTGTCATGGATAGCTGTTGTTCAATTATAAAAGAGTAGCTGATAAGTAATTCTCCGAAGAAGAAAAAAGCAAGAAGAGCCCTCAAAAAGACCATGAACAACACCGCTCCCTGCCACACTGCCCTGCGCTCTCTGTGCAATCCCTGGTTCACAAATCACTTTTTCCCATCTCCCAGTAGTGATATCATCCAATGCAAAGAAAAGAATACGAAAAACAACAAAAACACGGACGAAAAACTATCAAAAAAAAGAAGAAACTTTCAAAAACTCGGCGTCCGAATTTGGGGTTACGGTAGCGTGCATCTTTTAGTGCGTCGAGCTTTTGCACCACGAAAATTGCATCGCTCGTGATTTTTACGCGTTTTACCTTGCGAGATGGGTTGCAGTTGACTGTATGTGCTCCTAATGAATAAAATGTAATAAAGGAGAGCAGAATCATGATCACGAGCACGGTCAGCAAAAGGACATGCAGTTCCGATTAATGCCCGCCGCCCCAACAAAGAACAACTGAGCGGCCCTCCGTCGGAGGGCATCTAGCAAGTGGGCGGTCCAACTGAGCGGGCGTTAGAACTAGAACTTTCAGCGGCTGTAGCTCGCACCTCGCTCGCTGTGCAATCGCGAGAGTGGGATAGTCTCTTAGTCAGGGGTGGACTACTAGCATAACGAAGAACGACCATGAATAACTTGAGCGCGAGGGCTGTCTTTAAACCAGAACACATCATTGTTGGGGATTCCCCGGAGAGGGATGGGTCGCGGTTATATTTGCCAAATGAAGTTTGTTTTAGTAATTGATTTTTTGTTTCACGGGCGCTGCAAAGGGGGGTGAGTTGCATTTGTCCGTTGTTGGGAGGGGGTCGTATTTCCCTTCTGGCCCTCTGAAGAAGGTTGCCTGACTTTTCGTGATTTTTCCTGTTTCATGTGCTTCCCCCTCCTGCTCGACAGCTCGATGAGGAGGGAACTAGGGGGGAGGGGGGGGGTATAACAACTCCTTAATAAAAGGGGTAAGAAGGCTGTGCGGCCCTACAAAAATCCCCATCTAATGATGTGTCCTGCCTTAAACAGACATTATCACGAAACGGAAAAACTCCTCCTCGGTATACTCCAGTCCCAGCTACATATGCTCACTACTACAATGTGGTTTTCCCAAATTTCCAGAATTCTCTCATGATTTCCAAACGTTTGCTCTAAATTTCGTTCTCTGTCTCTACTGTCATCTACAAAAGACCTGCCCACCTGACGGAACCCTTCGTGCGTCTCCGGGTCCAGCCACGTCAGTCGGAGGATCGGACCCTTTTTTAGGGGTGAACTCATTTGTCTGAGTGTAATCTTATTGTGAGAAATACGTTCATAAAAGCAATGAAAGAATGGGTAGACAACCACAATTTTTCTTCGTGGTATCGTCGACAATGGCTCCATTCTTTAAAAGCGCCCACGTATCATATCATTACCAAACGTTAACCTTACAATATTTTGTTTCTAAGTGCACAATGAAATGCAAAAAAAACCTAGTATCGAGCTCATATCTCCGACTAGGCGCAGTTTGTCGACGGGGGGGGCATTCTGCTTTCCATAGATGTGCCGACCCATCTAGGTAGCCTTTTCTCGAGTTAACACGTTTTAGGATGGTGGCTAGACTATCTTGCACCAGCTTCACAAGGGTTCACAAGTTTTACCAGGGTGAGATTTGTAAACCGGAACTAGGGAAGCAATGGTAGTACAAAATGCCCCCCGTCGACAAACAGCGCCCTCCGACTATGCCCGCATGAGGCCGAGCACGCTACCCAATCAACCACGCTGCTCTTACCTTTATCCTGGAAGATCCGCAACAGAGCTTCGTGATCCTGTCTAATCGGCCTACCATCTCACTTGTTCAATTTTCTTCCAGGTTATATATTAGCGTCATTCCACTCACAGACATAGAGGAATGGCAGGAAAGTAAGGGGAATAGGACTGCGGCCTAGCATATCGTTCGAAAGCTGTTACCTTCAGCTACGTATCTGTGAAATACGGGGCTAAACTAGCCGCAGAAGAAACTTTGAAGATTGAAAGGAAACCCGAGAGATGAAAATTAGCGCCAGGGAAAGTGCCCTTCTGATGGTAAGATTCATTCTGTGTCGGACCAATTGTTGCGCACTACGGTGTTTCAAAAAAGAAAGTAGAAGATTTGGTTCCGAAGTGCAACGAAGGAGGAACAAAAAAAAGTTGCGGCTGAGGAGAGCCTCCATGATGTTCATCCTGCACAAGAAAAGCCGGCGGATGAAGTCAAGCGCTGAATGCCTGATCACAGAGGTATGACCTTTTTCGAGCTTCCCCGCGAAACTGACATTACCGCTGCAGTCGTTGCCCGAGCTACGCCCGAAAATTTTACGATGGTCAAGAGGGTGAATGTTTGGGTACCTCGTTTTCTTGCAGAAGCACGAACGCAGAGCAAATTCGATGCCTGTAGCAGTGCCTTGGATCATTCACGACTGTGAAGGGCGCTCTGGCCCCAGGCGAAACATGGGTAGCTTTGAACTCTGAGACGAAACTCACAAACGTCAATTTTGTATGAATGCAGAAGCCGTTTGAATTTGGGCAAAAGGAGATACGTGGGCCCAAGCGGATAATCACTATAACGATTTTCTTCACTGTGGCTTTCGAGCGGCTCTATACAGAGAACAGGGCATCACTGTCGGTCCATATTGACAGTCAGATCTACATATGTATTCTTCCCTACAACTGCAAAAAGGCCTTCATTGGTCGTGACTATGCCAGTCCCTGAGTAACCGTAACATTGGGCAGTGCTCAATCACGAACAATACCGAGACCTCGGTCCAAATTGCCTTTTACAGCCGTGCGATTTCAACTGTTCTAGTAAGTAGAAGGTACATTCCAACGTCAAACGATAGGACGTTTTGTCATTTAGCGAAATTGACATCAAGAGCGATTTTCTCGTTATTCCAAAAATGATGGTTCCAGTGGTCCAAACGGTCCGAGACACTGAGGGCGGGTCATTGATGGGAGAGGTATCCACTCAACTTACAGCCGAAGTATTACTCTTTTATCTGATTTCCTCTTCTTTTCATTTGGGTGCAACCTTCCTCTCTTTGAATGTGATGATCTGAAATTTCAATGAATGAGTATCTGGCATTTTTCCACCATTCCTACCTCTAGTGTTTCTTTTTATGATCGCATTCGCTATATGGGTCAATGCCGCGCCTGCGAATACTTATTAATATAACAGCGGACTTATCTGCGGGACTTGAGAAAAAATTCACAAGGTAGGAATTTCTTACATTTTTCATTAGTTCGATGCTTATCACCTCAGTCAAAGCTAGCCTCTTTATGGGGAAATAACGGTCATAAGAGTTGCTGATGGTGAGAGGGAAAGATTCTAAGGCTCTACCTTATCGCACATTACTCTGGTTCCTTGTGAGTATACAGGCAGCGCAGTACCAAGTATTCAATATGCAAAACGAACGTGCCCGACCTGAACCAGTATGTGAAATTAAGAAAGACAAAATCTCAAACTCAGCGCACTTGTGATTATTTTCGTATCACGTACTGCGGCATTAAACAGCAGTTACCAAGCTAGAACAGCTTTAAAAAACGACAAAATCATTAAACCGTCTCTCAAACGTATTACAAAGGCGTGGAAGGCGAAGAAATATGACCGCATCTCCGTTATGGAAGTGCCCCAGATATTCTCTATGTAGGTGATTCCACTTCCATAACACAAACATGTCGTGAATTGTCAATTCGCGCTGTTTCCCTAATCATTCATAATACTTTCATTTCTTTTCCCTCCCGTTATCCTTTTAATTTCTGCCCAGTTGCCTAGATTTGGAAGCTTTTTCCAACTGGCAAAGATAACGTTACACATAGGAATTGGAAACGTTAATCTTTGTTGCTATCTTTTGCACGGCCAAATTCACTTCCACTGAGGCACTGTACTGTGACAGTACTCATCGAAATCCGGTCAGCTACACCAACCTGAATTTCCAATGCTGTAGATTCTGAAAGATTCGGCAAAACCACTTTGGAAGTGTCGTGAGGCAATGGCTTCAACGTTGGTTCCCAACGATAACGGCTGATGCCTACTGTGGAGCCTTGTAAAGTTTTGAGTTTGAGTAGTTATCAAATCTTTCACTGAATCTTAGGCATAAGAGGAACAACAACTTCGCTCAAAAATATTCACCATCGATAAGGAGTACAGGAACAGGGCGAAAGGGGGCCATTCGAAAACGTCTTCTCCCCCATATCCTTTCAAGTGTTTCCTGTACCCTCGATTACACTATTTCTGCAGCATTGGTACCTTCTGCCTTCGTGCTGCTCTCCGAATTTTGTTATCAGACAGATCAAGTTGATTGAGTGCGTCATCATAATCCTATTACATAGTTGAAAGCCGATTTAGCGAGCAGAATGAATTGATAAGAAAATAAAACCCTTGTAGCGACGCCCCAGACGGAGGTTTTGTCCATTCGTCGGATTCGTCGGACAAAAGAAGTTGCACAAATCATAAAACATCAGCGTTGTCGAATATGACTCCATAGGAGCAATCTCTACTCACTATGATTCTTTCCTTTGATTATCATCGTGCCTTTTCGCTTCATGATTCAGTCTTACATACCTTTTCAGCTATGAGGGTCGGGATCGCAATCTTCACCTTATTCGCAAGCACTAATGCATGGTACTACGGTAGGCCGGATCCTGGCTCTTCTACTCAGTGAGTTTCTTTCCTTCAAGGAAACTTTGCATGATATTTAGGACGTCTGGAAGAATACACTTCTAAGCAAAGTTATATCTGGGCATATTTGAATGTAGATTCAATCCTCGTAACGAAGCACAGAGTCAGTTAGAATCTGTTTACTAAATTCGGCACTCTCTCCCCCATCCCCCCTTCCCAACCTGCCAGACATGTTTGATACTAGCTACTGTCACCATTTCTTGCACCACTCCCTGCACAATGCGCCACGAATGCTTGCCGTAGCAAACTGGAGTGTACATAGAGAATTACTATACTTCCCAGTCGAGGCATTGCGCGGTAGTAGAGTATTTCCTGTTTCCATCCATCGGACTTTCAATAAGAATTTGCGCTTTGAGGTCGTTCATGATGTAGATTTTCGTTCTGATTAATTTCCTAGTTAGCTGAGGACACGCACAGGGACAGAGACAGCTACTCCACCCAAAAGGCGCAGACGTCTAAAGAATCAGGATTGGCTGCGTATTGGATGGAATGGTTCTTGGACGCGGCGGTGCAAATGAATGCGCCACTTCGCTCGCGACGCTTAGTAAGGCTGCGTTTATACTTTGCGGCAGCGTAGCGCTTCCAGCGTTTCACGAGCGTTTCACTAGCGTTTCGCTAGCGTTTGCAGCGGCGGGGCTAGAGAGTATAGAAGAGTAGGATAGAGTACAAAATACTCTCCTACGCTTCTAATACTCTCTAGCCCCGCCGTTGCAAACGCTAGCGAAACGTTAGTGAAACGCTCGTGAAACACTGGGAGCGCTAGATCGATAGCTATGCTTCCCGTGCCCTCGCTACGCTAGCGTACGCTGGTGACGCTGGGAACGCTAGATCGATATCTATCCTTTCCCCGACACTGCCGCTGGCGTACGCTGGAAGCGCTACGCTACGCTGTTTTTTTTTCTTTTTTTCTCGCAAATGCATAAAACGCAAGCCTAAGTCCCGCACCTCTTGTTACGAGTCTTTACCCGTCACTTAATTATTGCGGCAAGGCTCGCGGCGCGGCTGCGGTGTGTTCCGAGCGCGGCGATCACCTGTTTCCAGCCTATTTTAGTCATTTTCTCCCTAGTTTACGCTGTTTTGGCTGCTTTTCTCACGATTAGTTGTTTCTTGTCTTCACAAGTAAATTATGATTATTTCTTTCTGGTTGTGCGCTAAAATTAAACAGTTTTAAGCAGACAGTAGAACAAATATCATGAGAAAATCGCAAAAAAAACACTCTCTATTGCAAAACAAAGTAAAACCAACTCCTCGTCCTAATAATACTTCATATAACGATAGACAACAAACTAACCTTAAAAGAATAGAGGAATAGTGAGAAAAGCAGCCAAAACAGCGTAAACTGGGGAGAAAATGGCTAAAATAAGTGGGGACAGCTGATCGCCGCGCTCGCAACACCGCAGCCGCGTCGCGTCCCTTGTCCGCCCAAATCAAGTCACCGGATGACTAGTGTAGGCCCCTGATTCTTCATCTGTAAACGTGTGCCGCCTTGCAGCAGCGCCTTCCTTTAGGAGTGAGTGATGACAGGATAGAGTAGTTACTCTATTTATATCTAATCTATTTATTATCATAAAATTATTTCAGAGGAGGAATATGGCCGCTCCCTTGGACAATCTCCTACGACACTTACAACCACACAATCAATCCAGGGCAATTTCATTTCGTTTCCAAGGTCATTCCCATTTACTACTTAACTGAATTTTGGCTTCAAAGATGTCTTATAGGTTGGTACCTGTGATGTGATAGACAAAAGCAATGGATAGATACATGAAGCTATCATTCCCTCTATATGATCCGGTTGGTTCACTTTTTATGAAAAACGTTATTTTGTAAGTCACCGAACGGGTATCGGTGGTTTGTGGCCATGACTTCAAACAGGCGGTTTGAATTAGCATAAGAATACTCACGAAGCAGCTAGCAAACTAGTCAATAGTGTTTAACCTTGATTTCAGTCAACATACAGCGACACAGCCGCAACACTGACCACCCTCGTAATAGCTGTAACTGAAGGCTGCACCAGCTCATTTCCACAGATGGACATGGACGAAAGTTGTAAGGCTTTATAAGAAGTTTGTTCAAGACACATTCTGCGATTGCCGTCGTGGGACTATGTAGGTGGTCCGAGTATGAAGCCTCTCATGGAAATTGATTTATTAATGGAAAATTGACTTATTAGTGAAGTAAGAAAGCAAAACGGTGCTGTTTTTGAACAGACGAAGCATCGAAGACGCCCTGGGGAGGCACCAATATTGGACGAGAACTCGAAGAAAAGGGGCACTGCTGCACTGGTGAGAGAATAGAGACAAAGACTGAGAGAATCCGAAACTCTCCTACTCATACAATTACAATGTTGCTTTTTCTCCGCAAGCAAGTAGCCTGATCCGCGGTCCCCACTTTCGCGACGCCGAGTGACGAGTGGATAAGGCACCCATGCCATCGTTCCTCTTATTGGTAGACCCACCTTCACTTGTCCCGCCCACCATTATCCACCTGTAATAACGGAGGATCTTCGGACGGACAAAAGCTATCCCCTGTAGCAGCGTCGAAAGTGTGAGGACTTCGTCCGATCATCCCATTTGCACTCTCTCTGCTTACAAGTGCACTCGCCAGGGGTTTTACTTAAACACTGAACGATTTTCCTCTATTTGTTCCTTCACCACTGTATCTTCGTTTCTCTATTAGCCCCACTACCAAGAAAATCCGATGGCGAGCTTTGCCCTTCTCGAGCTCTGAAAGGAGTGAGGATACAGGTCGTATCCTGACCACAGGTCGTATCCTGACAGAATGAACGCAACGCGCTTCACCTGTGTCTAGAGGAACAAGACCGTAGACATGTCGCTTCCTCAGATTGGTGAAGCACCTCTTGAGCGGCGTTCCTTCGTACTGTGACGATTGCAGCACCTCTCTCACTTTTGCGCCCTCACACTTTCTGAGACGCTGCTACAGGGGATAGCTTTTGCGAATGTAGGACGGATTACTTGCACAATGAAGGGTGTGGTGCGTCACGTCCGAGCGGTGACAGCGCGCTCTAGCAGAGTATTCACTAGTTGGTTGAAAGCGCGTTCCACGTTCATTTGATGTTCGGACGCATTCGCTGCTTTTAGACAGCATACTGGTTGACAAATCTAAAGGAATCGCAACACTGACAGCTGTTCAAGTATGGGGAGCTCTCAGAGGATTGGAGACGTTCAGCCAACTGATCTACCAGCCTACAAAGAACAAGGTGCCTCGTACTTATTGCCTCTAAGAAAGTCAAAATAACAAGCACGTGCTTTTATTTCAGTACCGCGTTCGGACTGTATCAATTGCTGACTCTCCGCGTTTTCCACATCGAGGAGTAATGATCGACTCTTCCCGACACTTTCTTCCAGTTGGAATCATTCTCGAAAACCTCGTGAGTACAACATCTGAATTCATGTAATTCTTGAAATATAATTTGTTCCGCTGGGAGGGTCAAATAGGTCAATATTGGGGAAGCTCTCAGGCTTTGAGCAATTCTCGGAGCATATTCCATTGCATTCCAAGAATGGATCCTTAACTAAAGATTAGGCACACTTGTTGAAGACTGTTGGTCAGGAAGTCCACGGTTCAGAGCGGCACGCGTGAGTGACCTGAGCACATACTCCTTGCCGCCCCTACTGTGCATGCCGCACTAGACAATGTATTCGCCTCTCCATCACTTTTCCCTGAATGTAATTGTGGGGCGGGGACGGTCAATCGCTTTCCTCCTTGGTGCTCACCTTCTCTTTGCTTCTTGCAAGAAGGGGGCATCTATGGAGAAGGCTATGTTGTCGACAGTCACCGCCTACATGCCCAGCAGTAGACTGTGCCTTCGACAATAATTACATGGAATACTGTTAGTAAACTTCAAACTCGTAGATGAGGTGCAAGTCAGCAGCAAGGTCAGTTCTGTCGATTACTCGTTACAGGATCTCATGGCACAAAACAAGATGAACGTCTTGCACTGGCATTTGGTGGATAGCGAATCGTTCCCATACACGTCGCTCAAATTCCCAAATATGTCTCTCCTGGTGAGATTTCTACCTTACCAGGAGTATAAATTTTCATACTAAAAAAGTTCAGGGAGCTTACACGCCTGCTCATATCTATTCCGTTGACGACATCAGGAAAGTGATGGACTACGCACGCTTGAGGGGGATTCGTGTCGTTCCAGAATTCGATACACCAGGTAACTTGGGATTTGCTTGAGCCCTAACAATCTTAAATGTGGAATGCATGCATCTGGGCTTCTTCTGCAAAGCTATGACGACATGTCTGAGGCTCAGGAGGAGAATCTCTAGAGTAGGTGAACGTATTTCAAGTGCACCAATCCCATCCTTATTATAGTAATTTCAGTTTTGCACAGAGAGTCCTTTGAATGCACCCTCCCCAAAGGTTAATAGACCCGTGGCTAATGATCTTGAAGTTCGAGTACGGTGGCCACGCAAAATAAGATAATCGCACTGGTTTTTAATGGAGGACGTAGGTTGTATGGGGTTGTATGACACGGACGCACCAAAAGAAAGCTGAAAACTCCATTACTGAACATTATGGTTTCACGTTTCACAGGCGTGGGCACGATGGCTGCGGGCGGGCCATTGTCGCCAATGTCACTTGGTGGAAGAACTAAAGTGTGTGTGGCCAAATGCTCACTTGTAGTCCTTTCACCAGTAGCGCTGGCAACAACCGTCCGCCTCCAATCGTAATTGTATGTACCCTGTGCCCTTCAAACCAGTTCCAACGAACCTTTTAAAATAATTTACGTACGATATCAAAATTATGAGCTACCTCTAGCAATAAGCCCTTTGAAGGTCACGCTGGTGCATGGGGCAAAGCGTTTCCCAATTTGCTTCCCGCTGTGCTACAACTCAATGGGATTCATAGATGAATTGTCCAATATCATGGATCCAACACAGGAAACCACCTTTACGTTCCTCTCACAGTTCTTCTCGGTACGTTTGTTGTCAGTAAAGTTGTGTTGTTAAGCAGCTATACCAGCTATACTACAAACTGCTCGGTAGCCCGACTTTTACAGGAGGCGCTGGCACTTTTCCAGGACAACTACATGCACTTTGGCGGAGACGAGGTTTCGTCCGATATGCAGCAGTGCTGGTGAGTGGAGGTAGACAGAGCCCACGAGCTTAAAAAGCATGCATTATCTGGATCTGTGAAACGGCGGCATGGATGCTACACCTCACTCCCCTTACTTCCAAAAAAGGAAGAGTCTTCACAGCCTACCTGCCATCGCCAACCTACGCAATTTCACCACAGAGTGAAGGGGTAGCGATTTTGACGCCCCGCGAAATTGGAGCAGGGAACAAATACGGCTTCACTGGCCCAAACGTCAAACTGATGTGGGACACGGAAGAGAACTGCAACGCTTCCCACGTTTGTCTCCTTTCTCCCATATCGAAGCAGTAAAGCACTCAAGAAGCGCGGCTCACCGTTGGGAACTACGTAATAGCTGCCAATCTCCGCCCATATCCGATCGCCTATGACAAGGCTATACTGCGCGTAGCCAAGGCTATGTTTGGCATGTCTCTGTCTTTGGAGATTGTTATAGTGGCGGAAGTGGGTTGTAGATAAAGAAGAACCTTTGTCTTTGATTTCTCTCTGCTTTTTACCTCAAACGTCACGATGCTTGGACAGATCATGCGATATGGAAAATGTACCCTGGATGGACCGATCGCAAACTTCTCAAAAGATGGGGATTAGGGAGTGTCTAGTGCAGAAAAACCGTGCGCTGGATCCCAGTCGGGAGTCGTTTTTGATAGATGGAGGGATGAGAGTCGTAAATGGCCTGCGAAATTCTCCGTTTGACAGTTTATTTTTCCTCTTTCTCACGCGCTGGCCACATAGTGGGGAAACTTCTACAAAAGGGTGGAGGGTTCGTATCGCTAATATCTCCCCCTTGCTCGACGGCGCAGCCAATGTGCTGTGCAACTAGCACCTTCGAAAGTAAGAACTGATTGTTGGTTGGTGATGAGCTATTA